CCAGCCTTATGCTTCCTGGAAAAGGCTGGCCGACCAGATGACAAGGCCATTGCAGCAGAACACCGAGTGTTGGATAATTTTTCTGACATAGTAGAAGGGTAAGCATTGGGGTTAGTTCTCTAAAAACTCTGAGTCCACCCTATAAAGGCTCATAGTTGCTTGTGTTGAAAAGTAACAATTCTAGTTTTGACTAAACCTGTTGGGATTCTTAGTGGTAGTTATACTCATGAATGATAAATCTTTGAGAGAGAATGGGACCAGTGGAAAGGACTCCATAAGCTGGCCTAAATCCACAATCCATAAGATGCTCCTAAATGTGAATGTTAATGTTTCTCCCAAATGTTTCATTTGACTCAGCTTTCTTTGCAATGCTTTTCAATATCGCTATAGTAAATGGCTAAGAAGATAACTCAATCTCATATAACCATGCATTTCTTCATGCTACTTTTTGGTATTACCTAAAAAATTTTGCACTATATCATCTTCCAGCAATGTGTGACAGATTGACTCTATCAGGATACATGCCTCAGTGATGAGTTGCCATGCTAATACTGAGCCACCAGCTAAGGCAATATTGCCCTGGTTTGGGTGCCAGTGAGTTTAACAAAACTTCTCACATGGAGACCTGAGGGGCATGTAAAGTAATTCACATAGGTCATAAATACCCACTCACTTTTGTGATAGAGAGATTTCTTTTTAATGATTACAACCTCAGTTCCTTAGTGTAAGATACTTAAAGGAAATTGGGTCATTTGTTTTTTGAGAAGTGTTTATTATGTCATCCTTAAGCTCAATAGAGCAAAATATTAAGGAAGCATGGCTCTTCAAATGAAATAATAAAAGTAAGTAGTTGGGATGAGGGGGATAGTGGGTTAAACATTAAAAAAAAAGCAGGAGAAAGGAAATGTGCTGGTCAGAGTGTTTAATTTCAAATTCAAGCAATATAGACTACCACATTGTCAGTTTTTCCAGTTATTTCTCCTGTTAGGTGCTGTATATAACTTACTCAAAGCTTAGCACCTGGTAGCCATTCCATCAAGCATTACAGAAAAGATTAGTCCATGTTAGATTCTGTGTTTTGCCAGGTCTTTATCCTCAGTTCCTCTTAGTGAAAGAAGATGTATTATTAATATTTTTGTCATGCCTCTGAATAATTTTAGGGTTGACTTTGATAAGGATTGTGAAGACCCTGAATATAAACCACTCCAGGGTCCACCAAAAGACCAAGATGATGAGGTAAGGAATCTCATTTGAGTTTAGCTTTTCTCTAATACTAAATAGTTTAGTATTCTCCCATTCCTTGGACCCTATATTAATTGATAATATGAAATGGAAATAAATACCATTTTGAATATGAAAAGAATTACAATGCCAACTGGGGGAGATCAGGGATGACCTTATGGATAAAGTGGGACCCAAGCTGGATACTGAAATAATTGACTACTAAATTCCTGAGTCCTGTTATCATTAAACTATTAATAATAACTCACTTTTCAGGTTATATTTTCTTATTATTTTACTTGATTGCTTCCATTTTTTCTGTGAGAGTCCTTTCATTGGAAGTGTTTCTTGCTCCCTTGGTGCCAAAATGATTTCAGAGTGCCAACCTCCCCCCTTTCTTCACCTTCCATCCTTTGGGGTGGATCTCTTTCTCTAGGGTGATCCCTTGATGATGATGGATGAGGAGATCTCAGTGATTGATGGAGATGAAGGTAAACTTCTAGGTGAACTAGTGCAATTTTGTGTGGGGTGGTGGGGGTTTATTTATTTATTTTCCCATATCCTATCTCCCCTTTGCCTGATAATTCTGATAATTCTATACTATCTTGGGATTTCTAAGAGCTTTACCTTTGGGTGGGTTGAAATACTAGTATTGTTTCTATTATCTTTCCTGTACCTTTTATTTATCCTGCTTTATTTCCCACAGCCCAGGTGACCCAACAGCCAGGTCATCTTTTCTGGCCTCCAGGCTCTGCTCTAACAGCCAGACTTCGCCGCCTAGTTACAGCCTACCAGCGCAGCTATAAGAGAGAACAGATGAAGATAGAGGCTGCAGAACGAGGGGACCGGAGACGACGGCGTTGTGAGGCAGCCTTCAAGTTAAAGGAAATTGCAAGGCGGGAGAAACAGCAACGGTAAAATATGACTAGGAATTTGGGCTGAGCTGTAAGTTTGTCTTCAATTGTGACCCTATCTTGAAAAGCATCTTGGAAAGGATTTGGAATTCCTTACCGAGGGACCATTTTTTGCCTTTAATTGTTACACCTCTGTGACATAAAACCTCACTAGGTACATAACCACATAGGTGATCCAGGTAGTGCTTGTTTATAGCCATTCTCATTGATTTATTTCCCTATATCCTTTCTCCCCTTAGACTGATAATTTTTAAAAGTCTTATACACACATTATAGAGTACCTTTTATACCACCTCTTCTGCTTTCTTCTGTGCATTTTTTTTCCTGCTACTTTCAATTTTATGTTTTTCAGGTATTCTAAACCACACTAAAAAGTATTCAGTCTCCCTATATTCTTTTAATCACTGTTACCTGATTCCTCTTCCCTCTGTAGGTGGACAAGGCGTGAACAAACTGATTTCTATCGAGTAGTGTCTACTTTTGGTGTGGAATATGACCCTGACACCATGCAATTCCACTGGGATCGCTTCCGCACTTTTGCCCGACTGGACAAAAAAACAGATGAAAGCCTTACCAAGTACTTCCATGGCTTTGTGGCCATGTGCCGCCAAGTATGCCGCCTTCCCCCAGCAGCTGGAGATGGTAAGGGAGACTGGAGAGCTAGGAAGTGTGGGGATGGATTATCATACAACCAATTCTTGAATCATTTCTTTCCTACTGTCTCTGTATGTTACAGAGCCCCCGGACCCCAACCTGTTCATTGAGCCTATTACTGAGGAGAGGGCCTCACGGACTCTCTACCGTATCGAATTGCTTCGGCGCCTACGGGAACAAGTTTTATGCCACCCCCTTTTGGAAGATCGGCTGGCGTTATGTCAGCCTCCAGGTCCTGAATTGCCCAAATGGTGGGAGCCTATTCGGCATGATGGGGAGCTTCTACGAGGGGCAGCCCGCCATGGGGTGAGCCAAACAGACTGCAACATCATGCAGGATCCAGACTTCTCTTTTCTGGCTGCCCGTATGAATTATATGCAGAATCATCAGGCAGGAGCACCAGCTCCATCCCTGTCACGCTGCTCTACTCCACTGCTACACCAGCAGTATACCTCGCGCACTGCCTCACCACTGCCCCTGCGCCCAGATGTTCCTGTTGAAAAGCCACCCGAGGAGACAGCTGCCCAGGTTCCCAGTCTGGAGAGTCTGACTTTAAAGCTAGAGCATGAGGTGGTGGCCAGGAGCCGAGCAAACCCACAAGACTATGAAATGCGAGTAGCTCCCTCTGATTCTACCCCTCTGGTTTCCCGGAGTGTCCCACCAGTCAAACTAGAGGATGAGGATGATTCAGACTCTGAGTTGGACTTGAGCAAGCTGTCACAATCATCCTCTTCTTCCTCATCGTCATCCAGCTCCAGCTCCAGCACTGATGAGAGTGAGGACGAGAAGGAAGAAAAGCTAAGTGAGTGCATGTGACAGGCTGTTGGCCCTCTTCCCTATTTCCTCTTCTCTGCTCTTTCCTTTCTTATCTAAATGCATCTCCTGAAATAGATGTTAGTTTTGATTTGATAAAATGTCAAAAAAACATCTGTTATTCTTTGAACTTCTGAAAGCCCATATGATACCATTCCTTTCTAACTTTATTCTTTCATCTTGTTCATACATGTATGATCTCTAGCTGCTGACCGGCCCCGCTCAAAGCTCTATGATGAAGAGAGTCTCCTGTCCCTCACTATGTCCCAAGATGGATTCCCAAATGAAGATGGAGAACAAATGACCCCTGAGCTTCTGCTGCTACAAGAAAGACAAAGAGCATCTGAGTGGCCCAAGGTAACAGCCTTATTCCTGGAAACATACAGTTTAGAAATACAGTGAAACATATAAGGGGAAAATGGAGCAGATAGTTCTGGTTTTCTTGTATTGTGTTTAGTGTTACATGTTTTTCATGAAACTGGGAAGGTGATAGTATTTATTACCTTCCTTCTTTCTGCCTTAATATTTGTACCTATCCTGATAATAACAGAAATATTCTTTGGCACAGAATCATACAACTAGTCAGTTTTCCGAGCTTAAAACCAGTATATTTTTTTCCTCTCAGGATCGTGTCCTGATAAACCGTATTGACCTCGTCTGCCAGGCTGTACTCTCAGGGAAGTGGCCTTCTAGCCGCCGAAGCCAGGAAATGATAACAGGAGGAATTTTGGGGTCAGGCAACCACTTGTTAGACAGTCCTTCATTGACACCAGGAGAATATGGAGACTCTCCAGTCCCCACACCACGAAGTAGCAGTGCAGCTTCCATGGCAGAAGAGGAAGTATCTGCAGTCACCACAGCAGCAGCTCAGTTTACCAAACTTCGCCGAGGCATGGATGAAAAAGAGTTTACAGTTCAGATCAAAGATGTAAGCTCAGCATTTAGGGATCGGGATGTGGGGAATGAGACTGTAGTCCTTGCTAGTTTCACTAACAGGATACTAATGTATTTGGTCAGCTAACTTTAAAAATGAGAGGAGAAATTAGAGGTCACAGTGATCCGTTTAAAAAAAAGTCATTGAAGTAATGAAAGGGATCTTGACTTTAATCTCCTGAAGACTAGATTAAAAGAGACAACATTTTTGAAAGAAATCTAATTGACACAGGCTTCTTTGGATAACTTGCTTTTAGATCTAAGCCTGGTTTTTAAAAAATTGAAATCGAATTTGGGAAAGCCATTAAAATGACACCTAAGTATTAAGAGCCTTAAGTTAAAAAGGAATGTTTCCTGTGAAATTAAATCAGAATCTTCTTTTCTATTGAACCCAATTAGCTGGTCATTAAGTACTTAATAAGAAAAATGTCTTAAATTAGTATGTGACAGTTATGTTAGGATTTGCCCCTATGATGAGTTGCCATGCTAATATTGAGCCTCTCTAGGTAGGTATTTTTTTTACACTGCTCTGGGTGCTGTTGAGATAAATTGTATTTCTCTTAAATCTACCTGAGGGGCTCTAAGTCAAGAAATAAAATCTTTCCAATGAGAACATACATAAATTGTGTTATATTTCTAACTGAGATAGTCTTCTGTCTCACAATCGTTGAGCCAGTGGATGACCTTTAACCCATGTCCTCCAAAGCTTTAATCTTTACTTTAAAAACATGTGCCATATAATGTCTTGTGTGGGTGGGTTGTGTTCCTAGGAGGAAGGATTAAAGTTAACATTCCAGAAGCACAAATTGATGGCTAATGGAGTAATGGGAGATGGACATCCATTGTTTCATAAGAAGAAGGGGAACAGAAAGAAACTAGTTGAGGTGAGTGATAAAGTCTTCAACATGATAAGATCTTTTTATTCCTGGTAATTTATGAAGATAGTTGGGATTGAGGGATTAGAAGATTTTAGAGTTATTTTATTGGCTACCATTGGCTCTGCTCCCCCTCCCTCCCTGCCCCAAAGAAGAGTATGTGCTCATGGGGGTGGATTCTGGGTTTGCAGCTGGAGGTGGAGTGCATGGAAGAGCCCAATCACCTTGATGTGGACCTGGAGACCCGGATCCCTGTCATCAATAAGGTGGATGGTACATTGCTGGTGGGTGAGGATGCCCCTCGCCGGGCTGAACTGGAGATGTGGTTACAGGGTCATCCAGAGTTTGCTGTCGATCCCCGATTTCTAGCGGTGAGTGGCAGTTCCATACAGCAAGATTTTAAAGTCATTCCCTTGGTATTTAGCTGTGTGAGAAGGAGAAAGCATGCCATATTATGTCACTGGTTTTGCATCCAAAAAATAAGAGTTATTATACAAAATCTTCATGTCTCCCAGAGTTGTCATGAGTGTCAAAGTAATATTGTCACTTGTTAAATTAAATGGTAGACAATTGTTTACTCTTAAGCTTATATAACTACCTAATCTTTTTTGAGAGATCTGCCTAGTGGCAGTTTTGCAATAATTAGAACTAAGCATTTATTTATTCATGTAGTAAGCAATTATTTATTGTCAAGCTAGGTCTAGTGCCATATTACTACAGAGAAGATATTTATTCCGCCAGGATAACTGGTACTTTTCTATTGCAGTATATGGAAGATCGTAGAAAACAGAAGTGGCAGAGATGTAAAAAAAATAATAAGGCAGAAATGAACTATTTGGGAATGGAACCAGTACAGACAGCTAACTCTAGGAATGGAAAAAAGGTAAGATTGGAGCATTAACACTCCGTCTCCAAAGTGAAGTATGCTTTCAACGTATGTTATGACTGGAAATTACTTAATTCTGTTTTATTTTTTAAAGATTTATTTTTATTTATTTATGCATACTAGAAACTGTGTAGGCCAGAGGTGCGGGGCATGAGAAGTTTCACCAGAGACAGAGTGGAGAGCAGAATAGGCAGATGGATTGAAATACACTGCTGAGGAGAGCAGCGGGCAAGACAGGAGAGGTCTGCCCTGCCATGTGGGTCAGCTCCCTGGCCAGGAATTGAACTCAGGCCACAGTGGCTGGTGATAGTTGATATTGCTGTGCCACCAGGGAGGCCTTTAATTTTATTTTTCTCCCCACTGTACACTTCTGAAAAAAATGTATCTTCAGTTTAATGTGGAAGCCCAGAGTATTTTTACTGGTATTTTTCTAGTACTGTGGAATTGTCACCTCAAGAGCATAAAATTCTGAAAACTGACATCGTACTTGAAACTTATTAAAATGTACGAATTAGTAAATGTGTTAAAATATTCAAGACTTTATCTTGCTCTTCTGTTAAGGGATTTTTTTGCAGATGCTTTAACCTTTTCATTTTGCACATGCCCAAGAGTGAGAGTTCTGAGCAGATAATCTCTTAAAAGTTTTATGACTCTATATATCTTAGGAATGATTTGGAAACCTAAGGAAAATAGTCTTGGGGTTTCCCAGAACACTAAAGAGTTGAGTATCACTAATACACCAGCAATGGAAAAAGGAGGGGAAACTATGTTTCATCGTTTATAATGGCATTCTTTACATTTTGATCAAAATAATGGTAATTCTATTATTTTCAAGTATAATCATGGTTAATAAACTATTTGGTGGACTAAGTTTACCCATAGTTTCTTCTCCTTCCTACAAAACTATACCTGCAAAAAGTTTATTTGACTACATGTGTCTTAACTTTGGACAGTAGTGTTTTTTAAACATTTTTAAAAAAGTATAGTTTGATTTGATGTAGGTAGTTATTAGAAATGAATTAGCACTTGCTACACATTATCTTTCAATAAAATTTTCAAATGAATACGATCTTTTACATTTAACAAATTTTAATAACATTATTTTGCACATAATATATTTGTGAGGTAAATTTAGGAGGCTTATTTTTTTTTCATATAGGGGAAAAGTGGGTTCATGTAAATATTGTTACCATGTAGGGATGTTTTAATTTTTTTCTTACCCTCCATGGAAGCAAGCATGTAATAAGCAGAATAGTTATGAGAAAAGCCCGGTGGCTAGAGAGCCATCTGTTTCTTGAATCTGACATTATAGGGCAGCCTCTGGGAAAAACTTTTCCTTCATTATTACCTATTTTTACAATAAGTAATTTTGCTACTTCCTTAGTGGCGTTTGATAACTCTGGGAAAAAAAAAAGATCAGAGGAAATTAGAAAAAATCTTAATGTGACTAGAATTCTGAGCAGTAGTCTGGCACTACATCATTGCTGGGAGCTACAGGAATTTAGGTGTTTACAATAGTTACATTTTAAAAATTCACACAGCACTTGCTTCAGCAGCATAGGTATTAAAATTCAAACAAGAGGGCCTCCCCGGTGGCGCAGCGGTTGAGCGCTGGGTTGCGAAGCTGCCCGCGGCCTCTGCGGCGCCGGTTCGATCCCCGGCTGCTTCCCGGCCACTGGAGGAGGGTCCCACATGGCGCGCAGACCTCTCCTGCCGCCCACTGCTCCCCTCAGCAGTGTACTTCTGTCCTTCTGCCTACTCTGCTCCCTGCTCTGGTTAATTCTCTCACCCTCCCGCGCTTCTGATTGTACCCAGTGCATGTATAAACAAAACAAACAAACAAATAAATAAATAAATAAAACATGCCTCTATTAAAAAAAAAAAAACTTTAAAAAAAAAAAAAATTCAAACAAGAGATTAGCATGGCCCTGACTCAAGGATGACATATAATTTGTGAAGTGTTCCATAATTTTTATGGAAAAATGTAAAAATCCATAGAAATGAGTATCAAGATACTGTTTTTCTAAATCATAAAAGCATATTCTCAAGTGTTAGGCTTAGATTAAGATATATAGTCCAGGGCCTCCCTGGTGGCACAAGAGGTTAAGTCTCAGCACTATGAAGCTATCCGCAGCCACTGCAACACAAGTTCGATCCCCAGCGAGGGATCTGACCCTCATGGCGCAGCAGACTTCTCTTATTTGACCCACTACTCCCCTCAGCAGTGTATTTCAGTAGACCTGCCTGTTCTTCTCCCCATTCTGTCTCTGGTGAATCCTCTCACTCCCTGCACCTCTGGCCTGCACCCAGTTCTTGTATGTATAAATATAAATAAATCTTTTTTTAAAAAATAGAGTCCATAGACATGTGTAACATGGTCTGAGTTTAATGCCATCCTTTATGCCACACTTCCAACCCTTCTATTGCCTGAGTCTAGCAAAGCAAGGGTACTGAAAGCAGTGTTTCTCCTTCAACGAATTTAACCAATTTTTTTTTTTAAAGATTGATTGATTGATTTATACAAGCACTGGGTACAGTCAGAAGTGCGGGAGGGTAAGAGAATTCACCAGAGCCAGAGTGGGGAACGGAATAGGCAGACTGATGAAATACACTGCTGAGGGGAGCAGCGGGCTGCAGGAGAGGTCTGCGCGCCATGTGGGACCCTCGCTGGTGGCCGGGGATTGAACTGGTGCTGCAGAGGCTGCAGGCAGCTTCGCAGCCCAGCGCTCAACTGCTGCGCCACCAGGGGAGGCCCGAATTTAACCAATATTTGAAGTCAGTATTTAGAAGAAAGCAATTCAAAATTCAGTAGATAATGTAAGCCTACCAATGTGAGGAGAAAAACATTAATTTGGTGAGGAGCTACTCACAATATGTTTGGTGTTCTAGATATCCAAAAATCTTAATGTTTACCCCTGTCTCAAGTTTACCCCATTTATGTACTGTAAATATTGATTTAGCTATACTGCACTTCATTTGGCCAGATGATGTAAACAACCTACCATCAGTAAAGTATACTGTGCAAGTACTGGTTCATTCACTGTTTTATTCTTATCCCTTATTAACAAAAGTAAGGATTTGTGGAATGGCGACCAGAGTAAAGATAAAATATCATCATAAAAATAAGCAAAACTCTGTCAAATCCTTTCATTTAGCTGCAACATCAGAATGCTCTAGCCGGCAACATTCACAGTTGCTCCTCCTAGTTACTACCATCAGGCCTTGTCAGACTACTAAAGATCAATTTGGTGAAAAAACATTTGCAAGTTAGAATTCTGTTGACTTCTGTTTCCCCCCCACCCCACCCCCTTCTTTCTACTGTCTTCTATTCCTCCTCCCAGGGTCACCATGCTGAAACTGTGTTCAACCGGGTTTTACCAGGGCCTATTGCACCAGACAGCAGCAAGAAGCGGGCCCGTAGGATGCGACCAGACCTTTCTAAGATGATGGCCCTGATGCAGGGTGGAACCACTGGGTCCTTATCTCTGCATAATACCTTCCAACACAGCAGTAGTGGCCTGCAGTCAGTGTCATCTCTGGGTCACAGTAGTGCCACTTCTGCATCTTTGCCTTTTATGCCATTTGTGATGGGTGGTGCAACATCATCCCCTCATGTAGACTCCAGCACCATGCTTCATCACCACCACCACCACCCCCATCCCCACCATCACCACCATCACCATCCAGGCCTGAGAGCCACTGGCTACCCTTCTTCACCAGCCACTACCACCTCTGGTACTGCCTTGAGGTTGCCACCACTGCGACCTGAGGAAGATGAGGACGATGAGGATGAAGATGATGATGATGATTTATCTCAG